GCCTGAAACTCTCAGACTGAAGAAGTCTCTTGGAGGAGAGACGAAACGTTTCATTAGAGAAGAACCCGTCCAGAGGACCTATACTATTTTTTTTTTCCTTTTGAACACCTTGTAGAGTTTTGTCTGGATTAAATTATCTACTTTTTCTTTAGCATCACATTTATACATTACTGTGTTGTTGAGTCACATAAAAGTCTTTGTTTGTTGTTGTAACGTGACAAGACGTGGAGAAGTTCAAGGAAAGGACCTTTTTTTAAAGACCTGTTGTCATAACTCAGTTGTGTTGGTGTGACTACATCAGCAGGTCACTGTAGGAGGGTCCAAATGTTAGATTTACTATAACATAAAATAAAAAATCATTTCCTGTCTTTTTAATCCAATGTGAGGTGTAAAGAGTAACTTACAGGTCACACCTGCAAGTTGAAAAAATATTATAAAAAAATAAAACAAAGACCAAGTTCAGTTAATTTGACTAAACTTCATCCAAAACAAAAAACTGCATCATGAACTGAACATCTTCCAATGAAACAATTAAAATAAAAACTGAACCATTCTCAGTTAGTGTGTGACATCAGGGACACGAAATAAACATTTGAAAGGATTTTACCTGTAACTGACATCAGTTCACTGACCCAACCTCAACATTTGTACCAAACTGTCACAATATGAACACGTGTACCCCCCCCCCTACACAACTAATGACGGTGTCAATAAATTAAACGTTTTTTACACAAGGTGACAGCATCCATTTTCCACAAGTCATTTTCACATGGTTTTCTCTTGATAACGACATAATTACAGTATTTCGTTATTCCAACTTATGAACATTTTAAAGTTATCTGTATTGAAGATGGGATTAAAAAAAATCAACAGGAAGCTTGTTTTCTGTGTGTACATAAAGTGATTCAAACAAATTGACCAAATATCTATCTATCCATCCATCCATGGTGCAACGATACAGAAAATTCAAGGTTCGGTTCTGTTATGATTTGTTCTTTGTTGTTTTTAAAGAGTACCCAAACATTAACTTAACTGGTGAGGAAAACAGGACAAGACAAAAATGATAAAAGGTAAGTGAGTTTATTGTACAGTGATTTGGTCCAGGTTTCTTGCTGAAAAAACAAAGGAAAAGGTGGTTTAGGATGATGTTCTCTGGTAAGTGTTTTGAAGGTGTTGAATGTGTTAATAGTTAGTCTTTTCTTACAGGATCCAGGCGAGGAGGCTGACCAGGATGAGAAGGTTTGTAGAGGTTCAGGTAATTTCCAATATGTGTCTTGCAGATTTTCAGAGAGAGAGAGAGAGAGA